TCCAAGGAGAAAGCGGTTCCCTGTGTTGGCACTAGGGGATGCTCCAGGTTTACTTTTGTAAAAACCCCGTATTTGAACAGGATCTACCCCAGTGTAGCTTACCTTGTTTTCCTGAAGGCACTTAAACGTCGTTCATGGGCTGTTCGTTCTACAACCACACGTTAATGATCTCAAAATGGAATTGTAGCAACAGAAGAAAGAGGAAAACCAAAACTGTTCCAAGACCTAAGAGGCAGAATTTGTGGAAATAGGAGCATTTCAGAAAGAACTCTTCTCTTAAAATCAGTGAAGGCTGAGGCCACCTTCAGTATGCCAAGAACCACTGAGGTGAGGAGAAAATGACACAAAAATCCTCCCAGAAAAGCCTTACTCCAATAATCACGTCCCACATTGACTGACACATGCTCAGAGCTTTAGGACGCACATTTCACAGCAGGTTTCTCAGAACCAGCTTCACTCCAGCAGTACCTGGGGTGCTTTTGAGGAACAAATTCAACAGTCTAAAAATCACCTACTTCTCTCTGCAGTAAACAAATCTTATGTTACTCTTTTATATCTCTCAGTAGGACACTGTAATTTACTTTTTCCCCATCATCCAGCTATTCAAACAAAATGCATTGAATTGCAAACTTTAAAAAAAGAAAAAAAGAGATCCAAACCCCAGACATTAGATCATACCTCCCATCCCAGTAAGACATCAATATCTTGAATTATTTAAATCTTCTGAGTCAAACACATTAATTAAAAAAAAAAAGTCACATTTAAAGCATTTATTTTGAAAAATAAAATACAAAAGATCGTTGAATTGTAATTGTACATGTAATTTATCAATTTTTTTAAATAAAAGATATTTAACAATTTTCACGTGTGAATAAAACAAACAACTGTTCCACCAAAAATCTTTTAGGATAAGCACAGACCACTCTTTTGAAAGCTTCATACATTTAAAACCAAACTGCTACAGGAAAAAAAAAAAATCTTTGAAGATGGGTTTTGCAATTAAGACAGAAGAGCAATTTGAGACAGGCATTGCTTTGCATTTTCTAAAACCTTAAAAAAAAAAGTTGTGCGAATGTAATATGGTCCTACATTAACATCAGTGATTTTTTTTTTAAACAGGTTTACATGCTCTCACAACAGCAAAATCTTGAACAAAAACAGTATGAAACAAATGGGAGAGAAAATTCTGAAAAAAGCAGGCCGTGAGCAGTACACCTCACTGATCTCAGCGGGACAGTCCTTGTAAGATCATTTCCATTGAAAAGGCAGCAGTCTTTTTTCTAAAGAACAAGAAAAAGAAAGTTATGTTTGAGCTTTCAATGTAGTATTTTGGTTTTATCCTTGACAACATTTTGTAATTACAAAAAAAATGCGTAACTGAGTAATCACCGTTACCTCAGTAGGTGAAAAGTGACTGTCAAGACTAAACGCAGCCACTAACAACTTGCTGGTAAAGGATGTGGCTGCCTTTTCCATCGTTTACCATTAGCTACTTCTTGGACCATATTCAGGCGTAAAAAGTAAAATAAAATGTATCTGAATTTGCACTTGCATTCAAAATACTTGTGAGAGTGGGCTTTTCTTCGGAAAACGCTTGTATCCACTGTTTCTCCTTGGTGTGATGCTTTCAGCTATAGGTAGGGCTCTATCTATGGCCACAAAGCAAACGTCCATGCTGGGTATATTGGTGTGGCACGCTGCCTCTGGCTGTATTTAAACTGGGTGCATCTTGCCATGCTTTGCTGCCAAACTAGAACATCTGGTAACACGGCTGACAAGTAAAAATCCTGGATTAATACACTAAATCTTGCACCATTCATTCGTTGACTCGTCTGGAATTTACTGAGTTCCTTGCACAATCTCGCCATTGTTAATTCAACAACTAAAACGCCGTTTATGGAAAACACTAGCTACGGGACATATTAAAAACAAATTATACAAATCAGCTCATTTTTAGCAGTTTATCTAGAAATGGCAATTGATTTAAAAAATGAAAGACAGATGATTAAGAGTCATCTTGAAAGTTTCACTATTTTGTTACAATTGGGACTTGAAACTGTTGTGCAAGCGTGCCAGAGTATTGAAAGGCACAGAGACACCAAAATGAACAAGAAACTCTGCTAAAGAATGCCTGGACGAGTAGTGGCACAGCTCTTTGCACTCCTTCCAATTTCAAGCTCTGGTTTAGAGCTCACAATCCAGTAGTGCAGCAAACGCTGCAAATTGCGATGAGCCGTGTAGAACTGCGTTGCGATTCTTAACGCACATGAACCACGCTTTCGTAGCTCTCCCCACTAGGACCTCCCTCAATGTGATTGTTACAGATTCTGGATCAAGATCTGTATCTTCGTATTTTTCTTACCCAGAATCTTACATGGAGTTATGTCAGTTTAAAACAAACAAACAAACAAATCACCTTAACTAAATCAAGAAGAGCAAGTGAGCAGGACTGAATGCTCTTTTATTACCTTCTGTGCAAGAAATATCCGTTGTTATCTTCTATTCCATAGGTTCAGTCTGCCAAGTAAATAATTAAAATTACATTAGCTATTTTACATTAGAGGAAAAAATACCATTATCAGCATGAACGTTTTACTCAAAGCCATCTAGCTGTTTTGTTACATTATGTTAATTTTATCTTTAGTGTAATACTAAAGGAGAACACGACCAGCATCAATTTCGACTCCAGCATCAGGTTTTATGGTTTAAGCAATATTGTCTTACTAGTTCACAAGGTTTATTTTTGCTTTTTAGATGATCTTTCCTTACTTTGGATAAATCTGCTCAGAGCTGGGTAAATACTGTGCTCGTACCAAGCTAACTGTATAACCCCACCTCCTGCAATTCAGCAGAGTCCCAATCTGAAGCCTCCTTATCGTTTGGATCGAAAGAGGACAGTTACTAGTAATAGTGGACCAAGTTCTTTCGATGGATCACAAGGTAATTGGAAAGTGCAAACAGCATAATTTACCTAACAGGTACTGTAGGCAGATGAAGGATCGTTTCTTTTGCCAGCACACTCTCTACACACAGCGTGCTAAACTAACAACAGCTCATCTCCCTGCGTTTGCCAGCAATCCTTATCAGCAATATTTAATCTCCTCCTGTTCTGACACACCCTATGCTTGCAGACATACATGCTGCAACTTTATCTGTATTTATTTGTAGATAATCCTGAAACAACCACAAGAATTGCATTTGAAAGCATCAGGAATAACCACAGCGCACTTTCTCAATACGATTTGCTGACAATGACTTTTAAGCAGCGCACACGTAAATAGTCGTCTTGCCGTGAAGCTGCGGAGACATTTTGGCCAGCAGTTGAGAACAAATGATGCTGTGAGCGACAGCACACGGAGCTGCGTGGGGCCAGTTCTTAATGGTTTTCTATGAGCTGAGCACAACGTGCGAAGCGCGAGCACTAACTGCTCAGAGGGTGAGAGCAGGCAAACATCCAGTAAAAGAGCAAAGCCCACATCAGAGATCACACAGAGGTTTATCAGAAAGATTTGCTGCCCACAGCAAAAAGTTAAATTCTGAAAACATGAAACAGACACTGCAGCTATTCAACTTTACTGAGCCATGTTCATTTTATCTTGCCAGGAGACTTCCTTTCTACTGTCTTCTTTGGCTGGAACAAAAGAAACCAATTTTCCTTTTTAATCAATTAATTTTCATTTGAATGAAAGGAATAAGTCAAAATGTTTTGTCTGCATGTGGCAGATTCTCCTGTGTGTTCTTCAATCTCTACATCCGACAGAAACGCTAATCAAAGAGTCCTTTCCCAATATTGGGGATCCACAGTCAAGAAAGCTTGGGCACATTACCTTCTTTTTTCTTTTAAAAAGTAAAGACATTACAAAATATTTTACTTTTGATAGGTTACTTACATTCTAAATGAACTTCTGTACTCTGTGTTCATTAAGGATGAGAAATTGAATAGAAATATCAAGTAATGCAAGCAGAGATACACAACTCTGAAGGAAGAAAGCCCCTAAAAATGCTTTGACTCCAAATTCTGCAATGGGAGACTATACTCCCATTCCCAGGAGGGAAATATACTCCTGTATATGCAGGAGGAATTGAAAAAAACCCACCCAAGTATTTTTCTACTTCCCTTTGCTTGAACACACCAGAGATAGTACCAGTGATGAGCCATTTCCTGTATTTTCTATCAAAGCACAATGTAGGGAGCACTTTAAATGGCATTTAGACATTTACCATCAATTATTCAGCCTGAAAATTGATTTTTTTTTTATAAGCCTAGTTGAGCAGCTCTTACCCAAAAAAACCAAAACCAATTGCTACATGTTCTACTTATGTCATACAAAATATTTCATTTAAGTAGTAAAATACAAATATTTGTTATTTCTCTGATAAAGGTGAATTAAATTATTTGCTCCTTGCCTAGATCATCTGCTCTGAGCTTAAATCTACAAGGCTATGGGAAGGAGAATTAATTTCACTACACATTGGAGAGAAAAAAAAAAATTAAAAAACAGAGAAGCCCTTCATGCTCCACTGAAATGGAGCACTCCAACAGGCAGCTCCATGGAACGAATCCCATCTTGTCCCCTCTGTTACCTTCAGGAGACACCAAAGAGCTGCCCAGCACCAAGGGAGGCCACCTTCCAAACCGAACTCCAACGTCCATAAACGTGGTTATAGCCCGAAACCTTTCCATCATGTCTACACGAGGAAAGGGCAGGAGGCTGGAAGCGTGCCTCCCACACACTCACAGAGCTGGGGGTGAGGGACAAGAGATCCTGCCGTTTAAGAGAGCTCTATGATGAGGATTTTGCTTTTTCAACCACTACTGCCAAGGTTAGGTCCCCTAGGTAGCTGAAGACAATTAACAGCATTTGAAGGGTACCAGATTATCAATGATCAGTAAAATCTGAAGTTCAATCACCCACTTGATAGGAAATCAACACACCAGCACTATCCATGGCTGAACTGGTTTTGATTGTTTCATCTGATACAGTAGTGTTTCTTGTTTAAAATCTCCCATTACTTATCTCTGCTCTCTGTACTACGCTTGCTTTAAACCTTTCCATGCAAGACAACAAAAGATAAAGCTTCTCTACAAACAAAATACCTTCACAGCTCTGTCTATGCAAAGAGAGTCAAACTTTCCTTGAGTTTCACTGCAATATTCAGTCAGCTCAGGTTTACAAGCACCATCCTATTAACACTGGAGTTACACATGAACTCAAGAGAGGCTTAGGACCGCCAAGTGCAAGAGCACAGGAGATTCGGTCTCACAGACAAGCTACTCTTTGTGATCAAGCAGGAAATGAAATCTATGAAGAAGTGGTTTATAAAGACTGGTTGCATACTAACTTGCTGCTACACCTGCAAAAAGAAAACTAATCCAATACTGTACCTGCGGCACTTCTTTCAGAAAGTCGGGAAGCTGAAATTCACCTTTATAGACCTGGAAAAACAAAAAACAATACACTGCTCAAAGCTAGCATTCACTGCTGTCTGAAACGCTAAAGAGCTTGGGAATGGGGGGGAGGGAGGAAGATTCTTTTGGGTTATGAGCATCCAGTAATGCTGGAACAGATCTACTGAAACTGAGTGTGATCAATTTATAAAATCAAGTTTTATTCACGAGGCTTGGTCACCCCAAGTAGTTCTACAGCTGCACGCTCCGTCCCAGGCTTGCTCTGTACTCAACACTCTGACCTTGTCTGCATTAAAATGGTAAAACTCTGTAACTCATATTACATTTCAAGCTTGCTTGAATTATTAAGTCCTGGGTAATCCTTTCAGTATGCTTTTAGAAAAAGATTTTTAGCAGGATGATTAAATACACTAGGAGTGAGTTGCTACAATACATACTTTTTTTGAAGTTTGTATGTAACAAATCTGTTGCTTCACATTTTAGTGCCTTCAATAATTTAAGTTCCCTTTGGGCTTAATTACCATTCATAATCAAAAGCTTCTCCATTTAAACGTTTTTCAAAAGAGCTACCTGTCATGATCTCATGGACCGTGTCAGAACTGATATATCAGTCATGCAACAAAATATTCAGTTCTCAAAAATTTGTATTTTACAGTTAAGAAACCCAACAAATGTCCCATAACATGTCATTTTCTGATGTGTCACAGTATTCATTGTGTACAAAATACATATCATTCACAAACAGAACTATCACACCTGGAACAACTGATCCCATCTTACTGTGCTGTCAAAGGAAAGTTCTGTTAGTTTTGATATAGTTCATCAAGACAATGCAACTACAATCGCAGTCTGAAATGCTAACAACTTCGCTTTCCATGCTGTTAAAACGATCAACACTCAAGGACTGTCAGCATCTCCTTCTACCCTATTTTACATATATCTGTCCCTCTAGTCTACATATCTAGCTGGTGTAATTCTCAGGAAACAGGACAGTTTATACATTTGCTTTAATCTTTAAAGCTAGATAGGTACCACCTATAATAGGTACAATACATCACTAGTGATTTTCCCCAAGTACTGTGTCAGACCTCGAGTCACTTGGCAAACAGACTGCATGAGACCAGACACCTAACTCTCTAAAAGACCAAACACCCTAATGTCACGTGTTCTTTGTAGTCTCACCTAGCTGTAATCATATAAAAATCAAAACCCACAAACCTACTTAGAATCTCTAAAGCCATACAATGGAAATGAAAGCCTTGCTCAGAGTTGCACTCTCTGGTTTGCAGATGACATCAAAGGAAGGTGATCAGCAAGTCAAGGGATGCTTATTAACAATATCCATTTTCTCCACTTTCCTACAAATAGATGACCAGGACAGAAGGACGGACTCATTTGGTCAACACACGGCAGTGGCCTCGGGCTGCAGCCGAGTCAGCTCGGAAGTTCCTGTCCCTGAGCCGCCTCAGCCCACAGCAGACCTCCAGCATTAAACCTACGACTCACGCGGAGCGGACTTGGGAGCAGGCAGTTCTCATCACTTGATCGCTGGGCTAAACGTACCCAAACAACAAGGCTTCCCCAGGTCCCAACAGGGGAACCGGAATTATTATACACACACACACTGTGGAACTCTGTTCCTTCTGATATTCCACGTTTCAGACAAAATAGAAAGGCTGAGTCGAAATGATAGGCACAGCTCTCATTTATATTCAGCCAGGGGGTACTGTCATTCCCATGGAAACCTTAATGAAAGCCACACTGGTCAAAAATTCAGTGTGTGGCTTACCAGAGCCTAGATATACTATAAATACTTCAAAATGAAGGAGAGTATTTAATATCTTCAGCTTTTAACCAAGCCACTAAAATGCAGGCTGTGTTCTAGAGAGCAGGAAAGGAAGTTACAAATCAACAATATTATCACATCAAAAAATGCCACAGAAGAACCTAGGCAAGGTTCACAAGAAAAAAAACCAAACAAACAACGGTATCTTTTATTAGGCTAATGGTGATCCTGGAAGACACAGGCAGGCTTCTTCACCACTTCTGGCAAACCACTAGTCATTATCTGGGAATTCTTAAAAACAGTTAATACTGATGATGATGCTACATTCTGACTGATTCAGAACCAGAGTGACCCAAACCATGTTTGTCTCTCTGGAAGCCTCCTCCTTTCCTTCTCCTGCAATTGTGACTTGGTCTAATTTTTAATATGCCTGCTCCAAAAACATTACCATTGTAACAGCATTTACTCCTAATAAGCATCTAATAGTGGATAGTCAAGGGTATTCATCCATCAGCAATATTAAGAAAAATGACACTAATATCATAGCCTGGAAAAGTAAGAAAATGTTTCAGGGGCATTTCGTATTTTATTCACATGAAACACCACAATTTACAAAGGCAAATCTAATGACAGGTCCAAAAAGATTAGGTTTAACGCACAAGCATGCCTAATTTTAGTTCAGAACTGACATTATCTAGAATGCTGGTTTTGTCAAGATCGAGACTGCACAGAAACTGGTTTAAAGTAGTTCCAAAACCAGTAAGCGGTCCCTTTTGAATCAAAATCCAGGGATCAACTGCAACACAAATTCTAAAAACAATGACTCCATCTGCAGCCAAAGAAATTAAGAGGTTTCAGATTCAAAATTCTTTCCTGACCAATTTCCAAGTCTAAAACACATTATTCAGAGAGTGGCAGCAGAAAGGAAGAAGCAGGACATTGGAATGATTTCCAGTCTAAGCAACAATTCAGTAAAACTGAGCAGAAATGGAGTTTACCATTTCTAAGGGAATTATTTTGCAAGTCCAAATGGATTTCCAAAGGGGAGAGGCAGGAAAATCTGAAGTCTGTGTCAGTTTGTTCTTCAGGGTTGGCACTATTCGAGCTGTTCTATTAAAACAAAACAAAACACATTCTTATAGCTGAGCTAAATGCATGTTATTCTCAAGAAGAGATGAGAAAACAAGTCTCCCATCCAGTCATCTGAGAAAACCCTTGTGAATACACAAGGAAAACTTAAGAACAGAAGCGTCACTCAGAAGCATAACCTATAATTCATCTTCACAGAAGATGAAAACACTCCTTTTCACCCACTTTCAAGCCTGGTTTAGAAAGAGTCACATTATATTTGGTCAGTTCCAACACACAGAGATAATGGGTCTTTTTGTCTAAAAGTTAGCGTACTTGGGCTCGGTGGATTTTCAAAACATCCAAGTTGCTAAGTACAAGGCTATCCATGTTTAATTGTCCAAAAAAGAAAAAAAAAGGAACACCAGTGAAAACAGAACAGAGCCCCTTTCCAGAAACAATCCTTTTCTGCACAGTACATGGAGGTACCCTCATCTTGCTCTTCCAGACTTCCCTTAGCTTTTAAGGCAGCTCACAAGGCTGACACAATTCTGCATCTCTTTGCTGGAACTGCCAAGACAGGGGACATCAGAGATGTAAATATTTACCCAATAGGAACAACAGAACAACACAAGAGGGCCAGATTTTAGACAGGCCTATGAACATCTGCCAAAAGGCAGCTTGCAACCATAGTGGAATTTTGTATTTTCTTTGTAAATATCTCTGTACACCTTGCTACTCAGAGATATGCCTACTTGGTTTAAAAAAAATAACAAAACACCAAAAAAACCCACACAATCCACCAAGATATCAGCACCTCTGGAGAAAAACAATGCAGTTGGGAATGCACATGCTGGAAGAAACACCCACTAAGGAAAGTATTAAACAAATTTAAAGGACACTGAGAAAGTCTGTGCTGTTGGTGGTCACAAGACAGATGAAATAAACCCCCCAATTTTTGTTTTAAATATCAGAGAAAAATGCCTGAAGCCAAACGCCTTTATCCTTAACCAGCGTAAATGGAGATGCACGGCCTTGAGCAGCCTGCCGTTACAGCACAACGAGTTATTTGCATGCATTAGTATAAATATACTTCACACTCTCTCACATGGATTGTTTCTGTCTTTAAAACCTCAAATACAGAGTCTTGAAATCACGATTGTCATGGACATCTCCTCACAATTTAAAACAGGAGTTAATACAACTCTGTTTTTTCCTCTAAATGTTACTGCAGAAAATACCATCAACAGAACACAAACCAGAGATAGATAACAGCTTTCGGATGTGATTAGAAGCAGCCACACATATTTAAACAGTCATGATGAAAACCATGGCTTTTTCTGCAGCGTTCTGTACACTTCTGTGTCTCAACCTCTCCAGGGCAAGGAACATGACTTCATGAAGAAGTTAAAAGAAATGACTGGAATATGTATTCCAAGCACACAAATTCATTTAGGGGGAAGTATGTGCCAAAGAAAATCTGATGTAATACGTTACAGATGTGAGAGAAAACCACTTAGCCAACCATAACACAACAACAAGCCAGTTTCTACCGGGCATAAGTCTTGCAGTTATGAGCTGTTTTTCTCTTTGGGTATATTGTGTTCAACTGCTGACATACAGTTTTACACAAACTCACAATTTTGATAGGGCCATATCAGACACTCTTCTAATGTGGAGTGATTCTACTCTCGAAATTCATCATAGAGTGACTGGGCTATCAGTTTAGACAGCTTTATTATTTGCATTTTCTGCATCATTTGCAGCTGAAAACTCCTTTTAGTTACAGGATGTTATTCTCCTTCATGTTCAGGATGTAGAATTTGTTAAATCTCTAACTGGTGGGGAAAAAAAAAAAAGGGAGCCAGTTATGTATCCATAAGGAAGGGACTCTTGCAATTACTATGCTAAAACGAAGAGACCAGCCCCAGACTTACAATAAAAACACAAGCCAGCACAATCCTGCAGTCGCTGAACAACTAAAGGCTGCCTCTTGAGGAGGTCACATGCAGAGATGTGCTGAACAGTGCAACACTATTCAGACCTTGTTCTCTGCTCTGCGTTCCTTAACCCAGATAAGATAAAGATAATCTTGTCAGCCCTAACATAAACCAGATAAACAAGAAGTTAATGATTTTGTTACTGCAAACATCTGAAGAATCCATTATACTCGTGCTAGATTCGTACTCCTGCAGTGCGGACACTGGCAGAGATGTCTTATAACGCTGTATAGCACTCGGAGACCAACGTAAGAAGAGATGAAGTTAGCTTCACGCTCTGGTACTTGCTAAAACAAAACCAGAACTAAGATGACAAACAAAGTACAAACACTGGTTGCATCTAATTATTTCTGTGCTGTGCTAGGGGAGCACAGAAAAAAATCAACCTAACCATTTTGGTGTCCGAGGCCGGTAACATTAAAGTGAAAAATCCAAATTTGGCAGAGAGCATTGTTTTCCTTGCATTACCTACAAGCACACAGAAACTCTAATTCAAGAGCTGTACTTTAGCTGGTGAGAATCATCATTTTGTTTCTAGACTGAAGAAAAAAAATATTTAACCTGTACATACGCAAGTCACCGGCAGGGGGACAGAAAAGGAGAAAAAAGAAAAAACAAACGCAGGACTTAGCTGCTGAGAAAGCTCAGGGGATGCAAACGCTTTGCACCACACTAACCATTCCTCTCCATTTCTCTCCAGTACTAGCCCTTGGGTTTGGCACCCTTACACTGTTGGTTCTTACCTTCGGGACTAAGAGCAGCAGCTTTGAAATTGCTGAACAGTATTTTCACTGTTACGTCTAATTTGCAGTCTCTTCCACGAAGCGATAGATTTTGCTCCGCGCAGCACAGTATAAATGCAGTTCTACAAGCAGCACTTTAGAACAAAAGAGTTTGGAATCTTAATTCTTTTCTACAACTGGACAATACACAGACTTCTAGTCATAAAATACTGACCTGTCTGCACTCAAAAGAGGCTTTCCAGCTACAAGTATGTTTTGCATCCTGACCATTTTCATACTTTCATTCCACTTATCTTTATGATTTTGTATGTACAGTATAAAAATGCTTTTAATCATACAAAACAAGAACTCTGTAACAAGAACAGATTTGTTTGTTTTTTTAACGTATCTGATAGCAGTGAACTAGGTGACACAATGTTATTCCATCTTTAGGTGGAGCCAGAATCTCCTCTGCCAGTAATTTCACTGGGGTTGGGCTTTCACCCTGTTGTTGCAACTTCCACAACCAATTTAAGCCAGAATTACACAACCCCCACAAAACTGAAACTCCCTCTATCAAAACCACATCCAAAAAACCAAACCCCAAACAAACCAAACATTCAGTCCTTCCCCTTACTGTTTCTTTCTGTTTGCCAGACAGGGCAACTTCCTCCCTCTGAAGTGCCAGCTCACGTCATTTTAAATGGATTAAGAAACTACGATGGTATCCGAGTAGCAAGTGTCAGATAATTCAGCACAGTTTCAAGTTAGTCACTCCAAGGGGTTACTATACTAACACAACGCAGCTCAGCTTTAGAAGTCTAAACTTTATCTGGTTTCAATTAACAAAATTCAAGTTCTGTGTTCAGTTTAAAGGTTCCAGAGACCACAAATATAAATATAATAGAACAGCTTCCAAACATAAAGTGAAGCAATAAATGGTTACATGCAAGATTTATAGATATTCTTATTATGCACTGAAGAGTAACTTTGGAAAGATTTTATTTGGACAGCTTCATCTCCAACAATATACCCAGTACAAAACTCTGTGAAACACTATCCTAGGTGAAGAAATTTAAAAAGAGAGCAAGAACAAAAGCAGTGCTACAGTAATTTACAAATTCATCAGCTAAGAGTATGCAATAACACAACTTGCCAAATGCCAGTTCCTAAAGGCTAGAAAAATCTAGATTAAGAAATTTATTTCTTTAAATAAACGCCCTCTTCTCCAAGCTGCAGCAGCAAGGACTAAGTTAGTTCAGGTTCATGGAAGAGAAGGGGAAACCCACAGGGCAGCATGTGCTATCGTTAATGGGCAAAATTAACCGATTGCAGTTCCCTCCCTCTCCTCCCCACCACCTTTCCCAAACACCTTAAAACAAAATAAAGCTGTGGGGAAAACAGAACAAAACAAAGCATTTTACAGAAGCGAGTCAGCTCCCCACGATCACCAACCAGAAGACTAGTTATTTCAAAACTTACTTGGTTTAAGGGCAAGCTCCTGGCCAGCATTTTGGCAATTTACTATGCAAGACGCAGGACAGCCTGGAAGCCTGGCAATTCTAGAGAGGGTGATGAGCCAGCTGCCCTGAGAATTAGGCAACCTAAGCAGCACACTGGTCTGGGAGGTGGGAAGCCTTACATCTTGAAACCCTAGGAAGCCAGGACATCAACGTTCCCATAGTCCCAGAGAAAAGCAGAGGACCCAATGCTCTGAGCAAGGATTTGCTGGGAACCAGCTGCGAGGAAACAAAGCAAAGGGACTGGCAACAAGTTCGGGCTGTCCAAATGCAAACTCTGATTTGAGCCATCGTTTTAAATGGCTCCTTGGGGTATGTGACATTTTGAAAGCTTCATGTTTCTCCATTTCCAAAAGGAACATTGTAAGTTTTGAAGATTAGCCATCTTAATTCCTTTTGCTTTTTTAAATTTAAGTCTTAATTCAGGACACCTCCCTTGTTTTACCTATGCAAGCCATCTATGCAAAAGTAATTTTGATAAAGAACAAGTGACTAGGAAAATATATATGGGTACTACAATAAATAACAAAATTCAACTGCTATCCTGCGCTGCAAGTAAAACTGTTCAATTAAAACAGCAGTCAAAATATTAACAAGTGTTCCATATGCTTGCAATATTTGGATCAGCTGTCACAACAGTAACCTCCAGTTTTTCAAGGCTGGTTTTAACATTAGTAAACAAACTAATTATGCTTCAAAGCAAAATTGTGAAAAAGCCTAAAAACACTTGAGCCTTTTAAATTAGGCTTTATTTTTTTAAAAAGCTTGTGGCTTTTGTTTACTACCTGAATTTCTCTCTTGCATTTTGAACTGAAACAGATTTCAAGAAGCCACCGAACAGTAAGGGACTGAAACCCACACAGTTTTTACAACTTGGACTGAATTTGCTATGTACAGGTAGAGGCCTCAGAAAAGGTCACCACACTGTAAAAACTTACTTAAATTGTATCAGTAAGAGATCATCAACCTTAAATGATTGCACTAGGATACAAATTTGGATCTGGGCCACTGTGTTCTAGTACGTATGGATAGGTGCATTACGAGTTTGTTTTCAACACTCCTTGAAGTAGTATAGAATTTTTTTTTTTAGGGGGTTGAATTGAGTGTAGAAAAGTTAGTTGGTTTGTGAGCCTTTTAAAACAGTAAGTACCAGGAAATCTATAAAATGCTAACCAGTACCCCTACCAGAAAAGGTGGGTTACCTTTTCCATGCTGAGCTAGCGACTATTACAATAGTCAACCTGCCATCTTTTAACATGTTGATCAACTTCTTACTGAAAGTTTCCCAGGGAGTGCTTTGAAAAAGAAATAAAACAAAAATGTTTAAAGACTTCACAAAAAGTATTTTTTTTCCCTTTAGTATCTAGCCCATCAGCAAACCAATCAGTTTTGGGTTTTGTGGCTTATTTTTTAAACATTGGATGACAGTCCTTTTACATTGTTTAATTCAATTTTTCCAATGACTGCTTTGCTGCAGCAAAGTCACCTTCTTTTAATAAAGTATACATTCTCAAAAGAACAGAAGAGTTAACTATTCTTATTTCAAACAATGGTAGTGAGCTTTTCAACGGATACCTCCAGGGATAAACAGCTGTATAGCCTAACTACTCAAATTCCAACAACATTAAACTCAGACTAAAATCCTTAAGTTTAGGTTAATCAGCACCAGACCTTCCTCCATCTTTTGTCTGTTCTATAAAGGACAGCAAAGAATTGGAAAAATCTGACATTTTGGTCATCTTGGGCCATTTTTAAATTCTACCAAGTATTTGGGGTATAATTTTATGTCGGAGCTTCTGCCAACCCTCATGCATAAAAAGCTGAGCTCATCAATCAAGTTTGGTGCCCAGGCAAGAAGGCCAGCTTTCTTCCACTCCTAACTAGTTCTCCAACTACCCCGATGATCCTCAAGAGGTTCAGCAACGTACACTGAAGAACACAGCTCAAGCCTGGGGTTAGGGTAAAGGAAGATGAACCAAACTGAAGACAAACAGCAGGAGCTGGACTTTCAGTGCTCAAGGTCCCACGGAATTCTTCCTTCTTCCTCCCATGGCAAGGAAAACATATCGCTCAGTATCAAAAGGTATTAGAAACAGACTTCGAATAAACAAACAAAACCCAAGACTACTTCTCTACAGCTCGCATACATTAGGTCAGTAATTAAACACACAAAAATGCCTTACCCTCCTTGTGTTTTCCACAACTTTTTGATCTGGCTTTCCATAATTTGGTGGATTGGCATACGGATCATAGCCCAATTTTGCCAGCATGGGTGCAATCACAGGCATATCTTGCAGAACATCAGCAGGTATCTTCCCAACCCACTTTGACAGTGCTTCCACATTGACTGGCTTGATTACTTGGTCAGTAGATCTTTCAACCCTGTGGAGGGAGAAGGAAAGGTTGTATTTTGCATTCCAACCAATACTTGCATCTTCACTACCATTAAGACCTTTAGCTTGCTTCAGTGTTGGTTTTTTGGTTTGGGATTTTTTGGGGAGAAGTATTTCCCTCTCATCTACAGAGCTGATAGAAGTGAAGTTTTACTACAGAAGGCTAAAATTAGAGTAACTAGAACAACATTCATGCAAGCTTTCTGCTTTAGGCTTTCACACAGAACCTAGAAAAGCAAGTTCTTTACATAAAGACAGCAGTGAAAGCCAAAGGTCTGTTAAGTGAAAAGTATGCATACACCTAAATATAAAACTGTTTTCCCACTGGCATATTCCCACATTTCGTGTTTCATTGTCTTATATGCTCTTGAAAGTTACATTCTAAATTAAAATCCATGTGCCATTTATTCCCCTTCCATACTGTGACTAAACTCTTTTTTTTTTTAAATAAATGAGACCCCTATAGAAATGACAGAAAGCTATAGACTGCAACAATACTTCTCTTTCTATCTCTCTTCTAACTGTTCCTTTACTGATTGAGTGTTCAGTCATTACACAGTTTTTAAAGGCAAGTGCATAATCACAGCAGTGTTATGCACTGCTTTTAAAAATTAGTTGATTTGTTGCTCATTTCATCAACAGTCCTAAAGCCATTTTCATTCTTGCAGCCTAGTTTTGTTGTGTGTTTTTGTTGGTTAGCTTCACCACCACCACCACCCACCCTCCAAAGGAAGAAATCTAGCATCACCTTGCTTTCCCACGTTCCTTGCTTCTTTTAGATTAGAAGACGTACAACTTCTTTACTATGTTTATTTCTGAAACAGACCAGGAGGACTCAGAACAGGCCAAGTAATTTAAAACTCTAAGAGTTTTTACTCCAAGTAATTTAAAACTTTTTTTCTGAACTCACAAAGAGTGCAAGTGCATTCTGGATGTCAAGGTTTATCTTTCTTTTAAGGCAGATTAAAAATGAGGTCTGCTTATACAAGTTGCCTAAAGGAGTATTTGCATCTGCACTGCAAGTGACACCGCAAGGTAAGCCGCTGCGTCAGCAGTTCCTGCCGCCTGGCTGTACCCGCCTCAAACCTGACGCTAAGCATACAGCTGTCACATCCACTTGCAGCTATCGTCCTTTCCGGGCCTTATTTACAGCATGAAGAATTTTGATCTCAAAAAGCTCTACCACCCAGAAAATGAAATTGTTATACCTGAAAGTAACAGTGCAAAGCACACCAGTACCTCATCTACACAAGACAAAGAATGAGAACACCGAGATTCAAATTAATTCTCAAGCAGCTCATTCTTCAGTTATACAGCAGGCAGAATATGAGAAAACATCTTCTGAGAAACATAAATGGAAATTTCCTGAAATTCTCCCAATAGTTTCTGAGTCCAGAAGCCTGAACTAAAGTCAAATTGCTCTCAAGACTGACATCAGTCAACTTATAAGAGGAACAAGTTTGATTACAGTTATCTAATTAGCCTCATGAGTCCGAGAAGAGGCTGAAGAATTGCTGCAGAGCAGACAAACATTAAATCAATAGCAAGAGGCATCCCATTCAGACGCACACTGTGCTGTGCAATGAAAGCCTTAAATTACAAACTATGCACACGTGTCTGCCAGTCCTTAACTCCATTTGATCTTAACACCAGTCTTTACCTTGTTACTCTGTTTTACTTGTCTTCATAGCTCAAATTCTTCCAGGACAGAGGAAGGAAGTCAGTCATACAACGCTGGAAGGTCAGTAACATACATACTTAAACACAATCAACTAAGAATAAACCAGGCAGGGAAACGGTCACCCATGGGGAAACCGCCTGGGCAGGCAGACCCTTCACAGATTGCTGCAAAAGGTGTTTAACAGAAGCTGATCGATAAGCACCTGACAAACAAAAAACCCTGTAAGACAACACCCAGAATTTTCAGCCTTACCCTCTTCAACCATTTTTAGTAGCTCAAACCAAAGGCAGGAACTCAGAATGGGATTTTGGGACCAGGGAGCTACAATCCAATTTCAGCCTTCCTGAAGGCTACTGGCGTGAGATCACAAGTCTGTATAGCAAATTGAAAAGTCTGGGCACTGCCTTTTTGAGCCTTCTAATTAGAAGATGAGCATCTGACTTCACACCAAATTAGCAAGAAGATAGCGGTTACGAGTTGAGTTTCAGAAGTTCAAAGTGGCAAGGTAGAGGACAAAACACCACAACAGTCAGGAGCCCTTAGAACCATGCTGGCCGAGACCCTCAAGAAAAATTTTACTAGGTGTTTGAAAAGTGTAAGATCTACCGTCCTCTCCCTCTCAGACAGAGCCAGCCAAGCCCAAAATCCCTTCACCAAAACTGCAGATTGATTCAACCACTTAAAATAAGAGTGACACTGTGAGAACCAAGTAATGGGCTTGGCTCATAGCTTACTGGAACTCCAAAACAATGGGTGCTATACATCAATCAGGACCTAAATTAGGACACATATGGATACCTCATTGTGAAGTAAAAGCAGAATTGAAATATGTATGTTTTGCCCCACTGTCATTTTAGTCTTTAGTAACAATAAGCTCAGCATGAAACATTTCCTGGTGATTAATAGCTGGCAAGAGATAAGCAAGGAACTACATTTAGCTGCTCCCAGGCACCGACTCAAAAATATCCTATATGACATTTGGTCTTCCGTTTAAATCCTTTTCTGTCCTTTCAGTTAAGGTGGGAAGAAAAGTAAAACACAATTCATGGGAAAGATTCTTCAGACCAAAAAACATCTGAGGAGTATGGGGGAAGACAGATTAGGGACAGGAGAAAAACACCCCAAAACACCAAACAAAGCCAAACAAAGAAACATACCAAATCTTGGCAAATTTGATTACGCATGCACATGGCAAATGCTGCCTGGTCAGTGCTTCCAGGCTCCACTGCAAAACCACAGGAACAGTTTCAGCTTTGAAAGCAGCTGGCAGCCTGGAACACAGGACTAACCCCAAATACTTCTACATCTGCACTAGAATCAAATGAAAAGTATGTATTAAAAATAGTGTATTCTGAAGTAATTTTGCCTAGACAGCTATTTTCATAATAAGCCTAATAAAAATTGCTATAAAAGGGTTGACATTTCTTTGCATCAGTGGTCACCACAGCTGTTTTCAGTTAGGAGGCAAATGCCAGAGCTATATTCACAACGCTAGTTATAGCATGTACTCCAGCCATAATACATTCCTTGAACAGCCACGCTGGCAATTACTTCAAACCACAGAAGGTTTCCCGCTACTAGAAATGCTGCGGTGCACATCCTTCAAACCCTCGCAGTGCTTCTCCTTGCAGCTGGATAAAGACCAAAACGAGGGGCAAAAATACTAAGCAAAATAGAACAACAGTGAGGCTAGAGCTGCATGAGCAACAGTAAGAGCTGGGATTACTAAGCAAATGCAGGAGAAGGGAGTAAGGCAGCCAACAGCTTCCTCAAATCAAGCAGCCAGGGGAACAAAGTCAGAATCTTAAATACAGACTGTCTAGTGTCTAATATTGCTATCAACAGACTATTGCAGAAGAGTTTCTGAGTCTGGAATAAGAGAAAAATGGAATCAGCTTGCTGCCTGAAGAATAATTCTGCAAGCCATTGTGCAGCTAGCTCATCTCTGGAAGAGAAACAGCCTGCACGCACAATTTAACTCCATATACAGCTGGAAATAAATCACCTTACACTGATCTAGAGCCTCATTCATCTGATACACCTTTCATTTGACATCTGAAATCAAAATTAACTATGAGATAAAAATATATTCTTAAACACTCACTTTCTGTTACCAAGTAATAACATTGTTATTGAGGTCTTCTAGCAATACTGCTTTCTCTTTCTCCAAGCGTTTCAAAATATTTCAAGACACGAAACTCTTGCCAGATTTCAAAAACCCTCCAACAGTTAAAACACATGCAGGCATGTTACATTGGACCCGACCTGAGCAGGCACCATGCCTCTGAAGTGGATGCTGAGCCTGTCTGAAAGATCTGAAACTCTTAAAAGTGAGTGGAAGATGATTCAGACAAGTTTCTTTACGCAGTATCACAGCCTTTGCACACTATACAGTAGTTCATTCTTTTGACTTCAGAGGTTTTCCACCCTATCTTGCAGACAAATGGGGAAATAATTTTATCTAGATCTTCATACTCTCCCTGCTATGCTACAGAGGCTAGGCCTGTGTGCTGGTAACAGTGAAGTGCACGTCACATTTCAATACAGATTATTTAGTACTTGTGATCATCTCCTCCTCCCAGTAATATAATTTGAGTGTTCTGATTTTAAGATACCATTATGAACAGCCTGAAGCATTTGGTACCAGGCAAGGGGGAAATTAAAGCTCTGTGAGAAGACAGAGTTGCAACAGACAGCAGCGTTTTGAATTTCCTTAGATTATCTCTGCAGTGACCTTCAGCACCATCCTCTGGAAAGTCAGGTGGGAGAAAGCTACTAATAAGAATATGGAGCTCCACTGCTCGACTCTGTTTCGGCTGAAAGACGACAGTATTCACATTGTGAAGTAGAAAACACTTTCCAGTAAGCCCAAAGAGAAATTCTAAGTCATAAGCGAACAAGGTCGGTTAGAAACTGACCCAGAAGGTACCAGCCACACACACCTGAGGCCATAAAGAATTTTGCTGCAGCTGAGAACAAGCCAAATGCGACTTGATAGAAGGAAAACCAAGTCTAAGGTGTATCTTGTTGAGCTGTCAAAATCTGGTAAGCTGTGGCAGACTCCGAAGTTTTCAGCAAACTGCCTAGCAAGCATCTTTTCAAAGAGCAGTTTTTCTGGGCAGTTACCCCCTGCTCCGGGCAAGGACCCCTGGACAGGCAGCCGTCCCTGTCCACAGCACTCTGCTGCACACCAGAGGGCAGTGAGGAGCTGGGGATGCCAAAAGCAGGAGGTTTGAACTGGTCCAAGGAAATCAAATTGGGGAATCTCAAGCTCCCCCTGCACAATTTCAATTAGTATCATATAAATACACAAACCAGACATCTAAAAATTTCACATTCACTGTTTTTTTCTGCAGCCCTCAAAAGACTGAGTCACTGAAATCATTATCAAATTATAAAGGTCTCTTGCAACTGAGAAACAAATCTCACCACCTATTTCAAGGGTATTTGATTAGATTAAAACCACCACAGACATAACACTAATAACTTTCCACTATTGCCAGAGCCTTCCAAAATAATAAATTACTTTCACATGTCATCTCATGAAATAATAAAAGCATAAAGAATTCTGTGAACAGATTGAATTGAGGATAAGAACACTTTCATACTCGTCTTAAATTTGAAAGTTCGATTAAAAAATAAACTGAAGCCACATTTTACTTTCAACAATCATCTTCTGAATTTTTAGAGACATGAACAAGTATTCTCAACTCCTCACATCCCCACTCCACCAGATTTAGCAAGAAATATTACTTGAAACTCAGTAAGGCTACTGAATTTTACAGTATAGAGGTCTATTAATTTTTAAAAACGCTAATCTGGAAGCTGTAAGGTAGTAATATTTTACTAGAAATGGCACTAGTCACAGTTATTTTCACAGGACACTTAACAGAACTTGGCCACCACCAATGTGTATCAGTAAAAGTAAGTTTACTTCCCCCCCTCAGCTGCCACTGTGAAGCAGCTATGGGATACCGGTAACTAAAGAGAAGTTCACACGCAGATATAGCTCGTGGGCACGTACAACAGCGCAGTGCTTCAGGCTAACATTATCAGAAGGCTTCAATCTGCTAAGGAACAGTACCGCAAAAAAAGGGGTGAGATGCCTTCTCGACAGCTCTGCTAACACAGTGGTGGTGGCTGTTTCTTCAGTGGGAATGTTGATGTGAAACCTTCAGATTGTCAATATATAACCATTACCCGAGTTTTAAGTTCTCTTTGTAGCCGCTGACTAATAATTCCATGATTTGCTTTAAATCATATTCCCCTACAATATATTAGAAAATCCACACAGTCACTTACTTAGGCATTCAATAAACAAAATCTCCCAATTTTTACTTCTCAAAACTGTAGTTTAAAAAACAAACAGAATCACTCTGTATTCAACAGTTTGACGTGTCTCTACCCAGCTTCTGTTACTCAGAAGCACTTGGCCAGTGATGAATACTCAAAAAACAGAAGCCAAGGAATATAATTGGGCATGCCCTGCTGCTGGAATAGGGCTTTTTAATCAGTATTTTAGAAACTTAAACAAGACAATTTGGTAAATGTATCTGCCACAGCAAAAACAGGAACAGAGATTCAAACATTCACACCTTTCCCCCTCATCGTAAAGACTACCCAGCTTCCGTGTTTCAGCTGTTCAGCTGCAAATAGGAGCAAAGACACCAAACAGAGTAGTTGAACTGGAGAACTAACTAACTTTTTTTTTTTCATAATACCTACCTAGGTTTTCTAAGCAGAGCTGGATTTTGGTTTCGTAAAGTAGCTAAATCAGGTGGACAGATGGCATGGCAAAATACTGAGAGATTTGCTTACAAGAAGGTTAATTTTATTCAAAACAACTTGTCCTTTTAGGAGCACATGCCAACAGAAAAGCACGCCAATTCTGCTTTCTATTTTGTTGGAACGGTTTCTCAAGTTTCCTGGAAGAGTATGTTCTTGGCAAATATAACTCGAAGGCCATTTTTGCATTGACAACAATACTCAAGTTCCTGAAATCAAATGGGTGATCTTGCTGGGATGAATAACACCAGTCTAGATAAAACGGTCCAGCTTTATTTTGAGGCACCGAGAAAAGCAAAGCTATATTGAAAGTAAGGCCGATACGAGACATCCAAATTCAAGTGAGACTGACCATTAATTAAAAGTTTGTTCATATGCTCCATACACATATGTTAGTGGGACAATTGTTTAGTGGGAGCAACCCGAGATTGCAAATTGCTAGTTAATAAGGATTCCTCTTTTCCAGATAATGTGCATCATAAATCAGCTTCCCGAGACATCCTTAGCTACTTACAAACTGAAATCAAGTTATGATGAGTCTTTTATATGCAAAATGTACTATTTCACCTCTTAGAACAATAGAAAGTAAAGGAGGAATGCTCATACTCACTTTGAAAGAGAAACACCCCCTGCTTTTCCAATCATTTCTTCATGGTGCAGCACTGCTTGGTTCCACGGGATGCGAAGAAACTTTAAGAGAGTTCTCATCCACCTTTCAGGATGCAATACGAGTTGTTCGTAATGTACCAGCATACACTTTTCAAAACCAACCTCCATACACTGGTTATACATAGTTTCTATAGCACGATTCCACTTGGTCAAGCAATCCCTGTAGCTGTTAAGGTCAAATCCAGCTATTGTGACTTTTCTAGATATCATGGAATGCACAGATGCACGACCATCCCGTACCATAAGAAGAAATTTGGCATTGGGGAAAATTCTAGCAAGATAAGTTAAGGATTTTAAAGCAAAAGGATCTTTGTTACACAGATATGGGGCAGGCTCCCCATGTTTCACAATGATTTCCAATAAAAACGCTTGCATCGCTGAGTCCAGAACCTCATCTGTGACTCCAGCTTCATCCAGTCGGATCTTCTCTTTGCTTGATCTAGCCCACATCTGCTTCACCGCCAGAATGCGCGGGATCACCCTTGTCTCTTCTCCGCATCGAATATCCGGATGGGCATCAAGCATGGCACGCATTAAGGTAGTGCCACTTCGAGGTACTCCTCCAATAAATATTAAAGGCATGTCTTTGTTGTAAGCAAAGGTTTTGTTTGCGTTCACACTGGAAGCAGTTCTTACTGTGCTCCTCACGCTCTCCATCCTCACAGGCTGGCTGCGTTCTTCTATCCGATGGTGACACTCCATAGCGTGTTGGCCCAAATAAAACACTGTCACTGAACTGATCACCAGACATGCCAATAGCAAGTTCTGTTTGAGTTTTCCAACCATTTTGATAAAGACTGTCACTTCAAAATAAAGAGACCTTCTATTTCAAATTGTCTTCTAGTTCACATGCCATGGGAAACCTAATCCAAAATAAATTAACGTCTGGAGAATGGGGGGGGAAAAAAAAAAAGTTTAGGACTGTATGAAGAACTACTACGGTAAATCAACAGCAGAAGTACCTGACAGCATTCAATAAAACTATCATCTCCTGGCGCTGCTTTAAGACCAGTAAATGCAGTCTAAACATAGTCATCCCATAACAAAGAGCCTTTTTCTTTAGCCATAGAAGCAACACAAAACATAACAAGATTCATGACTACAATTACTATTTACACAGAAGTTCTCTGGTACGTTTTAACAATGTATTTGAAATAAATCCACCACTGGATAGCCACTGTTGAACTTCACACTCAAAGACATCATTTATATATGACTCTACACATTAAAAAAAAGAAATCATTCTTCTTTACTTGAGGTTTTTACAGAAAAAAAAAACAACAAAAAAATTATTTCTGAGCCAGAGTCATCTAGGTAAAACAGATGAACAACACTCCCCACACAAATCACGTTAGAAATCACAGAAGAATTTAAGTATTAGAATAACTCTGCCTTGCTGAACAGACAGTAGCAGTATCCTGCTCATTGTCACATTTTCACGTAACTACATTATCTCCTGTTTCGCTTGAAATGCTCCGTTTCCTTCACAGGATACGACATGACAGTAAAAGACATTTCACAGTTACATACCAACCCTGACAGTGCCCAATTTTTGATGAAAGCTTTTAAGCAATGAAGAAAAATAGTTTGCAGCAAGTAAGTGAAAATTCAATTGATTAAAACAGCGTATAGTCATTAACTTCAAACTACAAACACAATCCGGGACTAAATTTGACTAAGACCAAAACTAAGATCAGTCTTGATTTAAATAAGAATAACAACAAAAAAGGATCAACCCATGCAGACTTTAAAACTTTCATCCATCCCAGTACCCAAATAATACAAAGCAGGACGTACGTACAAAAGAAAACTAATGATTTCATCCCAACTTCCTTCTTTATTGTTTTCTTTACTTAAAATTTGGCCCCTAGAGATATTTCTCTCTCAAAAAAAAAACCCCAAAACCTAACCCACACACCCAAACAAAACATAACCATTCATTACCCCATTGATTTAAAAAACAAAACCAAACCAAACCAAAAAAAACCACACCACACAAAAATCCCACCAACCCTCCCCCCACATCTTACACAGGGTTTTGAACTTCAGAGAAACGTTAGGTGAAATACTGAAAAATTGAATAAATCAGGAAGAAAAACAGATCCTGTTCTCAATCAACACACTGGGGAAGGGGGAGGGGGGGTTAAACCCTTGCATCATTTTAAGTCATGTAACAAGCATTGCCAGAATAAAGCAGATGCTGCATTCCACCTTCAAATAAGGTCTGGATTCCTTTTAAGCAGTGCTGGTAGGCTTGCTCTTTCTTTTAGTCTCTTCTACTTCACCTAGATAACTACTTTTGCTGGTATCACAGCAAGAGTCTTCTCCCTCCAAGACAACAGATAACACTTCAGAATTAAGTGTCTGAATATACGGTTACTGCACAGAAAGGTTTATGGCAAGAGCCCACGTAGCAAACCAAAAGTCAACTGACAGTAACAGTACGACAACTGTGCTTTATAAAGCATCGTGGCAGCCCACATTAATGAAGTTTATGGTTACAGACGTTTCATACTTACAGCATGGAATAGAAAAATATACTGTAGAAAAAAATTAAGCTTATGCCATAGTATAATCTTCCTTCTGGCTGTACAATACCACATTTAAATCATTCTGTCCATTCTAAACCCTTACAACTATCACAAAAAAAAAGGAAAAATGAGGCAAATCAAGGACGACCACACATCTCACATTTTGTGAGGTATCAATAACATGGCTTTCGTTCTGCTTTCTAATCTACAATTTAAGTAGTGATAAATATTCTGTGACAGAACAATTTTTCAATATGACTACCATTTGAATAAAGTTAATTTTACCACACCAAAAGCCACTGCTTTTCTGCTGTAGGGTTTTTTTTCAAATGGGTATGGTACTGTTTTCTACGATAGTACAACTCAGTATTTGAAAACAAATTAGACATGTATTAAAATTAAGGGTTTGTACAGCTAACACATTACCAAATATTTTATATAGTCCCTTTTTTTTTTAATTTCAAAAGTTAATCTCCTCTCATTATAGCTGGGAGAAATAAGTCTGAAAACACAAGATCCACAAAATTAAAATAAGGTTGGTGGGTTTTGTTTTTTTGTTTTGTTTTTTCTTCATTATTTAAAGGTAGTTTTCCTTTTTACAAATGAGAAGAAAAATAAAGACTATTAGATTATTTCTGGACATGCATATGAATCTGAACAACACTTTTAGATGGAAACAAAAGATTTAAAAAAAAAAATCTGTCTGCTGAATTCCAATGCGGACACTTACAAGAGGGACTAAGAATATGCCATGTCTTACAGTGAATATCGGCGGGTTATATCCAACACTGGCTTAGATGAATCTACTACTCTGCTGCCCAGATGACTTGATCTGTTCATGCCAACCTGCTCACTGGATCTTTATTTTTCCCATTCGTAACTCTTACTGCACAGACAGCTGTTTTACCTGTATTCTGCAGTTCAACAGCTTTGGATTTTCACATAAGGTAGGCTGAAAACGGACTCTTCCTCTCAAAACTCAAATGAAATTAGTACTTTAACTGGAATGTTAAATAAGAGCTTGCTTTTCAGGGCTGAATAACTCACCAACAGTATGAATCACAGATGCTTTTAATTGTGAGAAGCTCCAAGTACCGCCAACATTTCAAGTGCCTGGCTTCCTCAGAGCTTTTCCATCTCTGTCAGCAATGCACAACACATCCCTGAATGAAGAAAATGCTTATGCCTCCTCTCTCCAAAACATTATCCACTTAACCTTTTCCTCCATACAAATACAGTCATTAACTCAGAAATTCTCAAGTCACCGTCCCTAAGCAAGACTGGTCCCTCACCAGACCAGTGGCCTTCACAAACTGGTCAGCAGCAGCAGGCAGGCTGCCTTGCCGATTCTGCTGCAACTCTCAGCAGGCGAGCGCCTTGCACTTCCCAGTCCCTGCTTGAAGAGGCTGTGCAAGCAGACAGCAGAGGACAGAACTCCCACTTGGCACCACAGCAGCGCAGGGATAGATGGGAGGATGGGAATTCCTCAAGCAGGCATCTGTCACAGCAGTGGTTTTCTCTTGCAGCGCATCCAAGAGAGCCAGTCGCCAAGCTGTGAGAGAATGTCTCGCCCCTTCACACGAGCAAAGCCTATTCCAATCAACGGTTGTCACAACACTACACTCAGAGTTCAGCTTTTAGTCTTCGTTACCAAAATCAAACTGGAATCATAACTTAAGGATTAATTTACTACTTTTCTATAGGAAATGGCCAAGGAGCTCTCCCACACTCTCTTGACAGAGCACCACTCTTGCAATCAATCCATCCTCTGTAACAAGTTTCGTTCGACTTACCTATCTCTCCTTGCTGAAGAGCTGGCTTTAACTGCACTTTAATATCTAGACATTAAAAGAAACAAAGCTGCAGAAATTTAAGTGGAGGTCACCTGAACAGTGTTCAAAAAGAAAGCAAGGAAAAAAATAAATACATCATGCAGTCGATACTTCCATAGCACCAACAATCAGAAAGTCTCCCTCCTGAATAGATTCAGCACGCAGACCTAACTTTCAATTAGGGAAGGGGAAACTGTTCCACTTAAAAATAGCAAACAGTACACAGAATCTCTTTAAATGCTTTAGATACAGTGAAGGTTTAGTTAAAAGTCAGTACTCATTCAAGAGAAGAGTTAACAGAAACAGTATTTTGCCAGAGTACACAAGACCTGCAAATATTTACTCTTCATACAGTCCCTAACATTATTCAGTTTGAGTGAATTCCGTAACACTCATTTCCTCAAAAAAAAAAAAAAGAAAAAAAAAGAAAAAAAAGAAAACAAACCCTCCACAAAAAGCTTCCTTTCCAAACTAAAAGTACTCCTTGAAGACACTGATGTTCCCCAAATGCAAAAGTTTGGTAGCTGATCACTAGAGAAAAACATATCAAGACCGAGTGCATCAACTGGTTTACTCTGATCATTTATATTAGACTATCACTTCACAACCAACCAAGCAAAACACAGCACCAGCCTTCAGAACCAAGCTGAAGAACCCCCAGTGCCAGAGGAAAGCCTGTTGACCCGAGGCTGAAATCCTCAACTCACAGGTTGGGCAAAGCAGAAGGATGACTCGCTCTCAGCACAATTCCAGCTGTGAACACAAATAAGCCTGTGAGTAGGTTTCCTAAACTGCTGAAAGCACTGACCATTCACCTACAAGAACAAAAAAAACATCCATGTGACAAAACCCCACACCAACCACCCACAAACACCTTCATTTGACACAGTAACTTTTTTTTGGTAAGTTCAAAGATGCCAAAGGCTACAAGACCATAAAGAGCTGGTATTAAGCTCTCCCACGACCTTCTGCACTGGTTTTTTTTTTGCCTGGAAGCAATACCTGGAGCATGCAACTGCCCTAAACTGTGGCAAGACCAGGGCTTCGTATGTCAGGAACCCAACAGAGGAGCAGTCAGCAACAGCACCTCTCGGCAAACTAATCTCTACTACAAGCCAGCAAACTCCCTTCTGTGCCTGAAGTTACATACAAAGCTCTGGGGGACAAGTATGACATAGGGAAGTTACTGCCCTTCTAGCAGCTTGCAAATAAGCCCCACCTTCTCCCTCTACATGAGTAAGCACTCTGGATCACATCTGTCAACCTGAAGGATTACTACAAGTCATAAATGTTCTGCTGTTAACACAAACTAAATTGACAGCATTTAAAAATCACAACAGGGCAATCAGCAATCTCCTGTCAGCACTTCAACAGAGCTTTGAAAAACGGGGGCGTTTTTACCCACTACGACATGAAAAGAGCAAAGTGCACCTCCACCTAAAAGCACAGGCAACTCTTAATAAAAACACCTCAAATCAAGACTAAAACACATCCAAAACAAACGCAACCCCT